ACCCGAAGGATGGACATATTTGAAACAAGGACTTGTGGGGGGGGGGAACCAAAGGCAACATACGTAACCTAAACATCTGTACCCCCATAATATGCTGAAATAAAAGAAAAAGAAAAAAAAAAAAAAGACAAGCAATGTAATAATAATGGCCAAAAGATCTGAATAGATATTTCGCTAATGACAAGAACACAAAAAGTTGCTCAATGGCAGAAAATCATCACGGAACTACAAATTAAAACCATAGTGAGATACATTTATACATACACCAGAATCACTAAAATTAAAAAGGGACTGACACTACTAATTGTTGACAAAATGTGGAACATCTTCAACTGTTGTACATTGTTGGTGGGAGTGCAAAAAGATACATTGTGAAATGGTCTGACATTTTTTATAAACTAAATACTCACCTTCTCCTGGACCCCACAATTCCACTCCTAGGTATTTATCCAAGAGAATGAAAATACATGTCCTCAAAAGACTTGCACAAAAATATTCATAGCAGCTTTACTGAAAATAGCCAATAATTGAAAATGTCCAAGTTATCCGTCCATAGAAGAATGGACAAACTGTGGTGTATTCATACAATACTATTATATGAATTGTGGATTACTAGTCATCATAAAAAAGGATTAAACTACTGATACAACATAGATGTATCTCAAAAACATGTTGAGAGAAACCCTAAAAGGAGAGTATATTATATAATTCCACTTGTATGAAGTTCTAGAACAAGCAAAATTAATTTGTGGTGGAAAAATATACAGAATAAAAGTTGCCTCTTGGTGAGTGGGGGCAGAAACTGACTGTGAAGGGGCATGAGGAACTTTAAACAAATATTGAACTTTAGTTAATATTCATGCTTAAGTATTTAGGAGTGAAGTACACTTACATCTGCAATTTACTTTGAATGCATCAAAAAATAAGATTGCTGATTAGTTAGATGAAAATATGCATAGATAAATGATCAAGCAAACATACCAAAATGTTAATTGAGCTGGATAAATGAATGTTATTTAAACAATTATTTCAACTGTTCTGAATGTTTAAAAATTTTCATAGTATTATAAAATGCTGGGGAAAAAATTATGCTTTCAATTCCTCTGCTCTCTCGTATTGCCTATATCAATTGTAACTGAATTTTTTTTTTTATTTCAGCATATTATGGGGGTACAGATGTTTAGGTTACGTATGTTGCCCTTGTCCCCCCTCCCCTACTAAGTCCAAGTTTCAAATATGTCCATCCTTTAACTGAATTTATAGAAGTAAGCCAACAGGGGGTGTTATTCTCAGTCATGAGTTTATCTTTTTTTTTTTAGACAGGGTCTCACCCTGTAGCCCCGCTATAGCGCAGTGGCATCATCATAGTTCACTGCAACCTCAAACTCCTGGGTTCAAGCAATCCTCTTGCTTCAGCCTCCTGAGTAGCTGGGACTTGGGAGACATGTGCCACCATGTCTGGTTAATTTTTCTATTTTTTGTAGAGATGGGGTCTTGCTCTTGCTCAGGCTGGTCTTGAACTCTTGGCCTTAAGTGATCCTCTCGCCTCAGCCTCCCAAAGTGCTAGGATTACAGGCGTGAGTCACTATGTTTGGACAGTGAGGATTTTATCTTTAAACAAAAAATCTTTACTATATTAATAGGAATGAACCAAACCATTCCTTCTCATCAAAGACATAAATTGCATAGTGACTTCACATTATATATATAACGACTCTGGTTCAGATGAGGGAAGTTTTTGCAGTTTCATGCTTCAGTTTCAGCTTAGATTCTTATTTTCAGGGTTAATCATTTAAAGATAGGCACCTGCCCTGACTACCTTTAGCACAAGAAAATTTATTTGCTGAGCTTGGTATCTCAGGGTGAAATGCAAGGCTCATATGATGTCAAACAAAACAAAACAAAGCCAAGAAAAACTAACATTTTACTGTTAAGGCAGTCACATAAAAGACTATAGATTGAGTGTTTATACCTTCAACAAAAGCTCTTCCATTTCATTACCTTTATCAAGAGATGCTCCAGCCATATGGTAAAAACTCAGTGCAGTGTCTACATCATTAATATTCTTTAGGAAGGTGAAGAAGTTCTCCACCTCCTGAAACGTCAGACCCTGAAAGAGGAAAGACAGTAAGATAAGGCTGTAGCACAAAATGCAGAAAACTAGGCAGTTATTCATGTCTATAAATCAGAAATTTATGCCCACATCTAGAACAGAAACTGAATAAATTAGTCAAGGAATGTCAAATTTGTATATAATAGGGGAAGAAAACTCTAGAATTTTACCCTGAGAAAGGCAAACTGGCTGCTTCCCTCTCACAGGTAAAATCTGACAAAGCTTCTTAGAATGATGGCTGGATGCCTTTTATGAAAATATTTCTAACTGTGCTCTCAAATTGGTCACACCATCTATTATGCCACTTCCTAAATGGCCTGCAGCTACTTGATCTGTTCTACATCTTAAGAAGTTAAGATCAGAATGAGGACTTCCATTTTAATAATCTGGTCACAGGCCAGCTAAGCATTTTTGAGGCTTAAGCTAATTAAAGAATCACCGAAGTCAGTGATATAAAGGGAAAGGGTTTCACTATTTAGCAAAACCCAAGCATTGGGGAAGTTGTTGATTATCTAAATTTAAAAGCTACCGACAAAGTAATTTGTCACTTAACATTAATCTGATGAAATTCTGTGAATGAAGAAATCCTTTTGAAAAGCTGTTCAAAGAATGAACAGTTCAATGAATCTCTGATTCTACTTTCTATGATAGCTCAAGAGAAAGTACCTGGGATTCCTTCATTGGGAGGAAAATTTGTCCTATTTTTCTTTTCCTCACTTCTCACACATCATGCTGTGACGGAAATGAATACAGTTTCTGAGAAGTGAAAAGGCTGGGAATGTCCCAGACACTGAGGTTAATGCCTTTTAATAAAGCATCAGGTCCTTAAGGCATTGCAGATGTTGACTGGCTTCCACTTGGTGCTGCTCCTTTTCTGATATCCATTTCCCCCAACTACAGAGACCAAGAACCTACTTCAGGAACTCAGTGATGAGGATTTTTTAATATGGACAATCTATAGTTCTTTCCTGGTACTCTCCAAATTGGGTCAATTGTATCTTTTTCATATTATCAATCAAACTGAGAGCTAAAATACTATTGGTGTGATTATGATCTTTCCTAATTTTTTTCCCTTAGAATCATAGAACTTAAAAACCTTTTTATTGTGGAATATGATGACCATATAGAAAAGCACATAAAATATAAATGTACAACTTAACAAACTGTTGTAAAATGAATATCAATAGAACGTCCATTCAGGTCAAGGAACAGACTATTATCAGCATCCCAGAAGCCTCCTCCCTTCCCCCAACATGCTTCTTCCCAATCATAAGCCCCAGCTCCACCTCCACCCCCAGTGATAATAATCACTATTCTGACTTTTAGGAGATTCATTTCCTTGTTTTTTTTTTTTTTTTGATAGCATTACTACCTATTTATGCACCCTTAAACAGAAATAGTAGTTAAATTTTGTCTGTTTCTGAACTTTATAAATGGAATCATGTGGTAGGCATTCTGTTATATATGGCTTCTCTAATATTTGTTCATGTTTTTTTGTTTATCTGTAGTTTGTTAATTTCTATTGCTATACATTATTCAATTATGTGAATATACTACCATTTGTTTATCCATTCTATTTAGACTATTTCCAATATTTAGCAATTATCAACTGTGGTGCATCTGTACTTAAGCATTCATTTAAACATTTACGGACTACCTTCTATGTACTAAGTGCCATAATTTTTGGTAGTGAACTGGAAGGCCTATATTATATACCTTTTTCCTAATTTGAGGTCATTCTCTTGGCCTTGACTTAGAGTACCCAGAGTTAGGTCTCATTACTTATATGGATGCCATAGTATGCTATTCAATGTAAGCACTGGACTAGAATCAACCTTACAGAGGAGAATACCACTGATTAGAAGTACTTGTTCTATAATATCACTGCTTGTGGATAGATACAGTGATCCTCCTTTCCCCTCTATCAAAAAACATGTAAAGGTGGAAGCCACCCAAGTGTCCATCAATGGATGAATTGATAAACAAAATGCAGTATATATACACAATGGACTATTATCCAGCCTTTATAAGGAATAAAATTGTAACACAAGCTACAACATGGATGGACTTTGAAGATAATGTGGCACGTGAAATAAGCCAGCCACAAAAGGACAAAGGAAAATAGTGCATGATTACACTTACATGAGTTACCTAGAGTAGTCAAATTAATAGGGAAAGAAAGTAGAATGGCGATTGTTAGGGGCTGGGGAGAAGGAGAATGTGGAGTTATTGTTTAATGGGTAAGGAGTTTCAGTTGGGAAGATGAACAAAGTTCTGGAGATGGATGGTGGTGATGGTTGCACAACAAAGTGAATGTACCTAATGCCACTGAAATATACACTTAAAATGGTAAATTTTGTTATGTATATTTTAGACCCCCTTCCCCTATGACATGATAAAGCTTTTTAACTTTTCTTATTAAGGTATGGATTCCTGTATGGGGTGGAGATTTAGGGGGCTGAGTTATTGAAAGGTTTTTTGAGACTAAAAGGTTAACATAAAATTCCTAAAACAGATCAGGGTAGAGAAAATGTTTCCTACTTTGAAAAACAACCCCTAATGTTCATTAATTTTTTTCAGTGATATTTCCATTTATTTTACTTTTAGTAATATAACTTTTTTCTATCTCATATATGATTGAACACATATTTTGCTTTAAGATTAACAGTAATAATTGAAGAGACAATGGTTTATTTTTCTAATCAAGTGACCAAGCTGAATCTTAAGGCCTCAATAAATGCTGCATCTTATTATTTTCATTGAACAATAAGACCTTCTATTTTGATTATTCCTGGTAAATAGCAATTTTGCTTCTCCAGTGGTTTCCATTTGCCAAACAGTCATGACAGCTGGTTTAACAAGGTGGCTACCGCTTTCAGGGGATTCTGTCAGATGAAACCTCATGTCCAGCGCGGCAGCTCTTGGCAATCTTTCAGTGAAAGTCCATCCATCAGGACTTCTCTATTGTGGCTGGCCAAGGAGTCCTGCTTTGGCTGCCAGAGCTTCATTCTGCTGAATATGATATTCTTGCAATCTCATGGATATTCTTTGTGTCATCTTTAAATGTTTCTGTAAGCAACGTTCTGAACAGATGGTCTCTTCTCAGGTTTCACTTCTCTTGTTGTGAAGTCTTTAACATAGTCCAAAAAGCAGGTTTCTGTAAGTTAACTGTGGGTCCCAAGAAATTCCTTAAACTTTTATCTAATCAGATTCTGGTATTTTTGCAGCCATATTCTTTTGGTACATTTATTAGTCACCTTTTCTAATGCATGAGTTTTCTTTCTGTTCTGGAAAAGTTGTCCAACTTTTGCTTGAATGTCTCTAGTGAGGCTGTTTCTTACTCAAGCACAGGCTCTCACATCCAACGTCTGCACGAGGCTGCGGGGCTGCGCTGCAGTAGAGTCTGGGGACAGAGGGTCACGATCAGGGCAGGCACTGTGGCTGCTGCATAGGAAAGAACCTAATGTTTGCTAATTTCTAAAAAACATAGTGAAACAGCAAATACTATAGCTCAGGACCACAGTGCTTATGCTGAGAATTATTATAGGACAGAAAGAGAACAATATAAGCTGCATGGCTATTTATCTGATGATTTAGAAAAATGGTGGAATACAAATCACATTATGTAACTATTAAATCTAAATATATAACATTTTACCTTTATCACATAGATATAATAAATATTTATTGAGCACTTACTAATCACTCAGCACTATGCCAAGAACAGTGAGGGAAATAAAACCGCATTGGATATAGGCCTTGATTTTATGGCGCTTACAATTTAGATAGGCCTCCTTAAAGAAAAGAAGACATCAGTCACAAAATTCTTATTTTTTGCTAACTACTTCAGTAAAAAATCCAGAAGGCTATTGGGACAAAGCTAGAGTGAAACTATAACATGAGCTTTGTGGCTGGTAAACTGCAAAGTGAAAGGATATGCTTATTTTAAGGTGAGTTGCTCAGATCAGAAGGCTATAGCTTATGCACAATCTACTGGCTGGTGACTTGAACTGCAGACCTAAGTAGTCAAAAAGAACTATCTTACTCTTAGGCTTGGTATTAAAGGGATTTTCTTGACGTAAGATGGGGAGAAGATGGATTAGTTATCTTATCCTGGGACCAATTTTTCAACAAATTGGTTATCTACCTTTGGAAAGGTGGTCTTATATAAAACTGGGCTCTGCGTGACTAAAAAAGATTAATGGTAGTTTGTGAACAGTAGAGACATTTCTTTAGGTTGTTTAAAAATGAATTTAACATTAGGAAGTTGTTAAGCAAGCAAATACAATTGTCTTTTGAAACTAACAGCACATTTTATTTTATTTTACTTTCAAAATATAAAGGGGGTACAAATGTTTTAGGTTATATGGATGGCTTTTGTAATGTTTGCGTCCCGGCTACAGGTGTGTCCATCACCCAAATAGTGTTCGTTGTACCCATTAGGTAGGTTTTTGCTCCTCCCCCCTCCTTCTCCACTGCTTGATTTCCACTGAGTTTTACTTCTCTCTGTACACATGTGCTCGCTTATTGGTTAGTTCCAATTTAATAGTGAGTACAGGTGTTTGTTTCTCCATTCTTGAGATACTTCACTTAGAAGAATGGCCTCCAGTTCCATCTAGATTGCTGCAAATGTATTAATTCATCTTTTTTTTATGGCTGAATAGTACTCCATGATATACATATACCACATTTTTTTAATACACTCATGAATTGATGGGCACTTGGGTTGATTCCATGACTTGTGCAATTCTGAATTGTGCTCCAATAAACATTCGAGTGTAGGTGTCTTTTTGATGAAAAGTCTTCTTTTCCTTTGGGTAGATGCCCAATAGTGGGATTGCTGGATTGAATGGTACGTCTACTTTTAGTTCCTTGAGGAATCTCCATACTGTTTTCCATAAGGGTTGTACTAATTTGCAGTCCCACCAACAGTTTATAAGTGTTCCTTTCTCTCTGCATTCATACCAACATCTATTGTTTTTGTACTTTTAAATAAA